ACGTAAATTTGGCAACCAACCCAAGACAAATAATCTATAGTCGTTTGCACTAAGAAATTAACGTTAAGGTCAAACTGTTAAAAGAGTTAAAGTAAATCTCAATGAATAAGATAAAAAGGATACAATGATTCGATGCACGGATTATTTCCTAAAGAAAACTGAGAAAGCATCGGCAAGCACGACAACTCTTGAACCTTCAAAGTTGTGGTTAGAATACAATCTTACTTCCAGAATATTGGAGACCATATTACTGGCTAGAGACAGTATCTCAAGTGATTTTGGTAAATTTTTCGATCCATCACGTAGAGTGCTAATGTGGTTGCAATGTAAAAGGAGAGTCTGGTAATGTTATATATTGTACCGAAACATACCTTTAACTTTCTCAAATGTGACAAATTTTGAAGTTCGTAAATATAATTGTCAGATAAATCCAGATGTTTTAAGTTCAGATTAGTGTCCAGCTGTTCAATAACCTAAAGTATTCTCAACTACCGCATACTCAAATCACCTTAAGTTTGTTTCCTGATAGATTAAGCCACCGCAAGTTAGTGAGCTTGGCTAAACCTTAAGTTAATTAAAATCCACAATAACAAAGGTTATCAAAATACCATCCATTGTAACGATACCGTTATTAGGTAAATTTAGAATTGTTAAGTTTATTAGCCCCGCTACCCCATGCATCTGAAGCAGCTTGTTGTCTGCTACTGAGAGCTGAAACAGATAAAATCTAATATAACTCATACTTGTTGCAAATCACACAAAGTTGATAAGTTCTCCAAGCGACGAATATAGTTGTGATCCAGGATTAAAACATTGATATTAACTGGCAATGTGTCAATGGTTTCTATGCCAGATCTAGCGATATTTAGTGTTATTTCGCCATTTGGACCTATAAATGTTGGGAGATCTTGGAACCCTCGTCCAAGCAACTTATACATTTGTTGACAGATTTCGGAAAATCCACAGCTACAAGGTCAAACAGGTTACAGCTGTAAATGACTCATACAACTAACGACTTTCAATATCCAATATTTTCGTATGAGCTTACCTGAAACGAATAATTATTTTTAATTCGCTTATTTATTGATGGTTTTGAATATTTTGTGATCTGAGTAAATGAATTTGTCCTAAATTAGTATATTTTATGGATATTAACAGCCATCACTTTACCACGTAAAAGGTTGGATAGTTGCAAGGAAAAAAATTCAGAAAACATTCAGATGCTGAGCAATGGATGTTTCAGGAAACAAACAAGAAAATAATTTAAATACATGGTAGTGAGGACTATGTGAGAAAAACAGAGTGCGAGAATGAAAGGTTATCCGAGATGCTGACAGGCGGTACAAGATGACAGGATATGCGATAATAATAGATAGATGGATAGGCTATGATATATTCATCAGGCATTTTCATTTCGAGTTGGCAATTGCGTGACAACTTAAGTTATGTGATGAAGTGTTTTTTGAAGACATTTTTGTTCTGTTTTAACATTACTGCTAAAATATTTTTTTACCTTCATACATACATACATATATTTTTGTTCTGATAATACATGAAGGAGTATGCGTTTGTCAAGTCTCTTTTTCGTTGTCAGTTTATATGATTCACCTCATTGAAGGTAATCAAAGCTCTTTTAACATAAATCTTCAGTTTAACTTATTTTACTACCTAGGCTGACGCCGTTTGTGTGGCAGCGGCAATACGAACCCAAATACAGGTTGCGTTGTATGAATTTAATTCAAGTACTCGTTTATCCACGCAAACATTCGGAATGAAAACCAGAGAAGTGAAACGAAGCGGAGAAGGCAAGCATGCTAGCTCAGTTTGATGAAGTGGTATTTAATTTCTATAGCCAGACAAAAGTATGTTACAACTGTGTGATGAATAGGCTAGGACTCAAACACACATACGCTCATATAAAACAATCAAGCTTAATAAGTAAACAACTGATAAGGTCAAAAAATGACTGAAGTAGAAAGAATAAAGTGGTCTGCCGTAAGCTGGAATAACCCATAAGATCAGGAAGCTATATTATGAACATGAATGTGGGGCTGTGAGAACGTTTTTAACAGAGCCAAGTTTTCTACGCATAAAATGGAAATTCGCGTGACCTCAAAAAACTTGCCGAACATCTAGCTAGGTGCCTTTAGCACTCTCCGCAATACAACAAAACCTTCTCACAAAGCCCTGGAAACAATAATGGAGAACAATAAAGTATACTTGGTAATAGGCAGGAACTGACAAATTGTAATTATAAATGTCGAGTAATCCTACACTCATGTGGCCTCTTTATGTAGTAAGTCAGACAGGAACTTTTCTTTCATAACGGTAAAACATGTGAAGACCAAGTGGGATCAGAGGAAAAAGTAGACATTCAGATAATTGATCTGTAGTGACTCACATTTATCACGAGAACACGATTGGTTTATTGAAAACAATTATCATTATAACCAATTGTACCAGTGTTTGTTTTAATATGCTTTTGTTTAACTGTGCTAAAAACATCCATTATTCTCACACATTGATTGTGACTTCGTGCGAATTAGGTTACGTTCTGTAACCAAGCTTGTATACTGCCACGATCTCGGTATCCTTTCGATACCACGAGATCGCCAGCAAATATATCTCGACTTGGTCCATTAACTGCCTTCTGATATTTGGCTTCCGGGGGATTTTATGGAGTTGTAACAGCATAGGTTGGTCGGTTAATAGTTGACCCCAAACAACCAAGCATATGCCAAAACAGTATTGTTCAAGTATTCATTCACTTCCTTATTTTGTATAAGCGTTATATTCCTTATCTTATATTGAATGTTGAAAGCTTTTTTTGTCTGAACAGATAATCCCACGCTTCACGGTGGCTGCGCGAAGATCGAAATAAAGACCTATTCACTACTTCTTTGGTTTCTTCTATCAATAGCACGAGGGTTACCTATAGGCACGAAAGAGTCATTTGGCACGAGTTTCTTGGTAGCGGTGTTCATAGTCAATTGCGACTTGAAACGACGCTACAGATCATCTATACTATGTTTATCAAAGATTCTCCATAGGCACAATTCTTATGACATCCCAAACTGGTTTTAAGATGCTGTTCATGACTCAGGCTAAGGTTAACAGTTTGACATTCTTGATATTCCTCCGTGACATTCCAGAAAACGACCCATAAATCCTCATCCATGCGGACGATCCTAAAATTTTGGCAGCTGTGAAAGTTATTTACAAAACGTCCGAGGAAATTCAGTTCTGTTAAAATAATGGACACAAAACATCCATTTTACATTTAAATTTAAAACTTTTTCAATGACCTCATCTCGAGATACAGAATAGTATAAAACAGATTACTTTCTCCGTGATAAGGTTCTTCATGGAACAACGAAAGATGGTGATATGAGTCTGGTATTAACAGACCATCAAATATCATCGGTCTTATACCGTCTGTCAGCATCTCGGATAACCTTTCATTCTCGCACTCTGTTTTTCTCACATAGTCCTCACTACCATGTATTTAAATTATTTTCTTGTTTGTTTCCTGAAACATCCGTCGCTCAGCATCTGAAAGTTTTTTCTTTGCAACTATCCAACCTTTTACGTGGTAAAGTGATAGCTGTTAATATTCATAAAAGCTATTTACTGAGGACGAAATCATTCAGATTATTAGATAAAGTAGCCGACAATTAAGTAAAAAACTGACAAGAATTAGTACAATGGGTTGACTGGATCACTACTTAATGTACATTATTGGAAACTTGCATTAATAGAGAAACAAGAGTAATCAAATGCAAAGAAATCAATTGTTTCATGTAAACGCATCAATAAGATAGCTAGAACTGCAGTGTATTTGGTTTCCTGTATGTAAAATGTGATCGATAAACGAACCCACCAATAATAAAGGGAAACGCCCACCACCACATTAACTTCCTTTGACCTTGTACGACTGTATCTTTTTGTTAACCAATCACAGTTTAATGTTCATTGTAAAACAATATTTGCTCGCTGACTCGTTTTTCCTATTCTCTGGCTACTGTTCGGTATGTTATTGTCTCTTTTTCCGTGTATTAATAGACTGTACTGTTTCGTTTGCACACTAACGATGTTAATTTATGTTTTAGAAACAGATAAAGTTTACCTAGCCAAATAGCTTGCTTGTTCTGACTTTGGCCAAACCAAGACTCTGTATTCGACGGTCTACAGAATAGCTTAAAATTAAACCTGTAGGAAATTGCTCCCTACACTGTATTTAATCACTGTCCACAGAAAATCGCTCACCTCATTCTGCAGCTCTAGCTGTTCCTTCACGTCATAAAACAGGACGCTCAACAAGAAATCCCTATTAGTGAACCCTATTCTTCAAATATGTCAATAAAAATGGGCATCTCTTACCTCTACACACGGCTTCCTAACAATGAAAAGTGGATTATTCCACCAAGAACTTTACATCGGCCTTCATAAGCTTTTATTTTCAGTACAAACTTAGGTGAGATTAATTAGAAAAGGTTTCATCACAGTCTGTATGTAAGACAACATTTTGAATATCATCCACTGCAGTCCTTTCTCCTGCAGTGAGATTTTAATTCTCAAATTCGTGACCTGCTTGATGAGTTGTCTGTTTTTCAACTAGATATTCACCTTTCTATGAGACATAGAGTAACATGATAAATTACCTTTCTCCTAAATGTAATAACTGTTAATAGGGCTATCAGACTGACAACTACCAGATGTTTAATTTTAGCTTCATAATCAGAAATAACAATGCCGCCCCTCTAATTTTGACCGCTTTAATTACATGTCATACTATTGGTTTGAGAATTACATCAACTAACGACTCCATAACAGTGATGAAATGGATTTCATCTGAACTTGTAAAATTTAAGACGTTTGAAAACCCCTTTGCATATTAAACGCTAGATCTGTCGGCAATTATCCTTCCCTAGAACCGACAGCTGGTCCCACTTATTAGCATTCGAAAACAGTAAGTGGACGTTGAAACGGATGTATCCCTACCCGAAAGTATATATTACAGATATTTTGAGAACATATATAATACATAGTATGTTTTGTTAAAAACTTGAAAACACACAAACATGTAAAAATGAAATGTAAAAAATACTTGCAATTCTGTACACAATTCCGAGCCTTGAATAAAAGAGCGAAATACAAATAACAGAAATCTAATAGCTCGTTTTTAACAGTATAAAACTCCTATAATCATGCCTCAACGCCGCACATAACTTGTTCTCTATGCGATCGATAGGTTGATAAAAGTTCAGGCAATGGTGCATTACAGTCGAATACCTATATTAAAATATAGAAATCACATTTCATCGCGGAAGTCATATAATTAAAAAAACTGAGAATAAACTAATCGAAATGAATCAATGGAATGAGGTATGAAGCATGTTTGTAAGCACTAGTTCTGAGTTGCTTGGTCACTAACGACAAAATATCACGAGTTAAACAGTTTAATAATCAGTTAATTCAAAATGTGATTTATGAAAAGGAATGTTAACGCCAAGATCTAATTAAGGGATTATCAATATTATGAATATTATTATTGTATAATTGCATATTAGATTGGTTACTATGTATATACATTCCATTTATCACAGGCCTTCGGTTAAACTATTTTTATACGACTTAGTCTCCCTGAATTGTCAGTCTATCTAATTATATTTCGCACCATTCGCAGCCAATATTAGTTCGTTTAAGTGTAATTTGCATGTTCCGCTTCATGGCATGACGCGGTTCAGTATATTTTCATATAAATCCACGTATGTTTGAAAGATAATTGTAGTTGAATTTGGATGCTGACGTCTTAGACTCAAGGTGAGGTATGGAGAGAAGCTAGAGAATAGTGGAACAATAAAAACTTAACTGCACTGGCTCAGAATCAACGGTACTGGTGAGGCGTGTAACCGGTCAATACAATGAAACTAGGTTACGGAGGAAATTACAGATAAAAGATGCACCAAAAATAGAATTAAAATCCATATTGGTGACTTGGTACGTAATACTAGGCGGTGGTCTCCAAAGTCAACAGAACATAACGCAACAAACTTCATTTAGAAGTACGTGCAGGTGATATTGTTGGAAGAGCAATCACATACCCCCCGTTAAGGTCGTGATTGCACACTGTTAAGAGGTCTTGCACTATAAGAAAACAACTAATTAACTTATGTTGGAATGTGACCTCAATAAATAAGCATTGACTTGGTCAGTTAGGTGACAAAGGTTTCTTTACTTATATATAACTCCTAACTATTTATTCCCTGTACAACTGAAGTCGACTGTAGCAAACTAGTCCCCGACAAAAATCATTTTGAAATAAAGTTCGGATATTTATGTTATTTATTGTTTTACTGGCAAAACTTAAAGAAATTATGACTACATTTTCATAATATTAAGGCGAAAAACAATATACCACAAGACAGAAGGCATCGAGTCAGATGGATCAATTTTTATATCCAAATAAACCTTGTATCATAATGTGATTGATGACTAAAATAGCAATGATTAATATCAGATGTAAATGTAACCTAAAGGACAATAATACCATTGATGTATGCACTCACTAATAAAGGAGCAGGTAGCTGACCGAAACGGCGTTCAATTAACCAAGCTTCATGTAATTCATGCAAATCTTCAAGATATTTCTGTATAACAAAGAAACCGAAATGTTTAGTGATGTATTTTTCGAATGGGTATACGTACACATAGTACATCATAAACTTAAAGAACAGTGTGAATAAAATGTGCATTACATAATCACTTAAAAACTGAAAACATAATCTCATAAATCTATAAGTTTTAAAGCCATGATGTATTACATAAGGAAGAATAACGGAGAAAAGCACATGCACACAGCGTATAACACGATTTGCATCTAACAGGCAACAATAGCGTCATGCACTACCCTATTTCCCTTAACACATCAAGCAACTCGAACGCCACGAGAACACCATTAAGGTACATAACAGGCCAGGTACTCCAATGCCAACGGACAAAGGTGCAATAGAAGGAAATATGAGACAACTATATGATACGACGAAAAAGCTGAAGAGGAAATATGGTAAACCAGAGCGATCAGTCAAGAATAAACAAAGCAAACCAATCACTAAGATTCAAGAACAGAGTAATAGGTAAGCCGGACATTTTACAGAACTTTTGGATAAACCAGCCCAACTGAACATCAAAGTAGCACTTACAGAACTTCCCACAGTTGTTTTCCCATCAATAATTAAAGAGATCAGCATGACTATCAAAAAGGTTTGGGAAAGCAGCAGGATCAGACAACATATCAGCGATCAGTCAAGAATAAGCAAGGCAAACTAACATCATACGAAATTCATAAGACCTACTACACTACAAATTCCTGTATGGAGGACAGGTCACAGATGCACTCCAAGTGATGACTGGTGACAGGCAAGGTTGCCTACTCTCACCATGAAAAGAGGAAGACCAAAGAACACATAGCGTCGCGAATCGGAGGCAGACACCAAGAGAATGAGTAGCAATTGAAAACAACTGGAAAGGAGAACTCGGGACGCAGTGGGTTGGAGAATCCTGGTCGACGAACTGTTCTCTACGAGGAGTAACAGATATAAGGACATATATTACACCAACAGAAAATGAGGCAAATTTAGGCAAACGACAGAACTCCCAGGACCTAGTTCTTCTTTAACCTGATTAATATGCTTGAACTAAAACTGATAACTAAACAATAGCTACTACTTGATGACCGATTACTGTAGTAATGAGTTAATGTTTAATTAGATAACTTACTAGTTAACCGGAATGTTTATAATTATCTATCGTTCCAACTATATAGATATATATGCTTAATCTGATAAACTTCATCCTTCACTACTTTTCTCGCCCAGTGACACGTTAAGAGCTTGTGTTTAAGTTTGATTATCTATATCAGTCTCAGACAGTGCGCATCATAACAGCTACAACGAAAGCTTAGCAATTTAACAACAATCCTCGAGAACAAAGTACCCAAAATCATACACTTGAGTAACTAATCTTCTTCACTAGATAAAGCTAGAAACTTTTGTGGACTTGAATTGAGAAGTTTGAAACATACACTTCGAGAGAGGTCAGACGATCATAAGATAGGACAGTAATTTCTGTTTTGATTTAAAGCTGCAGAACAACTAATCTAAAAGATAACAAACTGTTAGTAACTTTAGGTTAAAAACTAGAAGAAAATTAGTGGATTTTTCAAACAAATAATTTCAAGAATGATAAAGAAGTGTCGTGAATTAGTGTGAGTTTGTACGGTGAATATGATCAGTGGAGGGTAGTGAAATCAAAATAAATATTTAAAAAAATCAGTTGCCCTAAAGTACAAGAATGATTGACCTGGAAAGTTTAATGGAATGCGTATAGTCCAGAAAACTATCATTTCACTTAATTTACAGCGACTTTGTATAAACGCTTTATTTAAAACTGTTACGTCCTCTACTTGATTACGGCAGAACGCCACAGACAGAAGAAACACGGGAAGTGATTACTGAATAAAAAAGTACAAAAAAACATGGGTATTTATAGTTATTAGAGTTGGCTATAACATCAGTATAATTCAACCAATCCACAAGGAGGCAAGTTATGCTATCGTCTAATTGTGGAATGGCACGTTGATATTCCAGGTTATATCAGGTTCTGATTAGATGGAATATCATTGGTTCCTTCATAACTTCTGGAGGCTTCGTCGCGCTTTTCGAAGCCAACCTAACACCTCCTCAGAATAAGATTTCCTGTTGGGGTCCGCTTGCAAAATGACACTGATTTACGACAGCGTTGAATTCCTTTCGTTGTCTTTCTTGTTTAAGTTTTCATTTTCTTATTCTTTCCGTTATTCTTGGGCGTATCTGTGATTAACTCTAATGGTAGATTCGCTCGGCTATCTATAGTGTGCATTGTTCTTTTATCTTTGTGGATTTTGTTCGTGCCTGATACATATCCCAAACGTTCCTCGGACCCTATACAAAACTCTTCCCAATCTTTACAATAATTCCTGGTTCCCATAGATTATTTCCGAGATGTGACTTGATGAACATTTTATGGCCTACATTAAAACTTCGGATATTCGAATTTTGTCTGTGCCCATCCACCGTTTTAGGTGACAACACAGTGTTGAAAGTAGTCCGAATTCCTCTAAACTTTCCACCAGGGACAGCTTTTATTTTTTTTTATTTTAACATATAGATATTCGTACAAAGAGGCACCAAATACATATGCGCCACACAAATCTCATTTGATATGTGTGAGGGGATGTGATACAGCCCGGGTGCCCAAACCAAAGCAGGTGGTTTTCTCATGGGGCCACACCCGGAGCCTTCGACCTGAGGGTCTCATCCACAAGGCAGTGGAGCTATTTGTTCGGTCAGGACCCTGGAGCCTATGTACACCATTGGTTTACAATCGGGGTTTCTCAACTTCCCTAGGTGGACTATCCATGTCTACCAACCCGGTTAAAGCGCCGGATATTCACTTTTCATCCTCTCAATTTCGTAAACACCCCCGCCACGAGAAGGCGATGAGTAGGACCTCTCTGGTAGAGGCTATATACGTGTGGCCATGTGAGAGCATTTCGAGAGGGAGAGCGGACTCTCCCCACTCTCGGTCGTTCCAGAGCATTTGGGGGCACCAGGGAAAGTAGGGTTGGGAGTAGTTCTATAAGCTGTTAAAAATCTTATGATTACCTGACTAGTTATTCGCTCGCTTTCTTCTTTCAGTAGTGATCTTTTAAAAGCGTCGATGAAGCGTTCTGGATGTTCATTCAATTGGGGATGATAAGCTGGCAAGCGAAGATGTGTTATTCTATTCGTACAACAGAAGTGCTTGAATGAGTCCGAAATGAATTGTGAGTCAGTGTCTCTGGAACTCCGAAACAATTAAATAAAGCAAAAAACTTGTTGATTGTCTCTGTGGTTGTACAGTAACGCGTGGTATATATTCCGAGTCACTTTGTAAATATATCCACAATAACTAGAAACCCTTTTCCTTGTACTGGACCAGAGAAATATGCGTAAAGTCTCAACATAAACAAAATCACAATTTTGTCTTTTATTTATCAGTATACGGTTGTGGAAACTGTTTAGTCTTATCCGAGTCCCGCATGCCGAATCATGGATGCTCACCGCTGAGTCCAATGATTCCAGGTTTGCAAGGGTGGCCTGATACTGATCAGCTTATGATCTCAATAAAAAAATTATTTGTCAATATTACATATTAAGTAGACTTATAAGCTGAGGAGAAATTAACCGAATACAGTGAATTCATTATATTCTACAAATAATCATCAACCAAGTCTTGTGAAAGCGATAATCTGCATCACATCTAGGGAAAATATTTATCAAGATCAAATGTAGGGATAAAATCTACCAAGGAAGCAAGAAGCACCATTTGAAATAGCATTGTACGATGTTATATGAATCCTAGACATTGAGATTTTCAGCTTATTTATGAAAATCAAAATAAATTATCTTAAAGAGTTTTGAACGAGATAAAGAAGTTGTAAACTGTCATACGTGCATACGAGCAATCAAAATAAACATTACAACCCCCATATGAAGTAAGCGTATGAAAAGTAATAAAATTTAACTACGTAACTTACAAGAGGAATATCTTCTTCACCAGAACGATTTCTAGCACGTAAACGCTCGAAGCAAACAGTTGGACTTGCACGTAAATATACTGAAGTTAATAATAGAACAGACATTATAGAACGAAAGGATATATCAATTGTCACACTATGACTGACCCACTGAAATGCAATTCAAATCTATCAGGGTTAGTGGTATCACATGTGTTTGAAATCTGTAAATTACAACTAAATACAAAGCTGTATATCTCATTAGTTTAACAGAGTATATTTTTGGAAAAAGATAAGCTATGTTAACAACTTTATTAACGAATGAGACAGACTAATGTCACACGTCAAGGAAAACTTAATCAGACTCGAAACATCATTATTTTTAGTTGTTTAGGCAAATTGACGGAAAGAATCATGATTGAAACTGAAAATTAAAAATATAAACCTATTTCAGAAAGTTTAATTCAGAAAACCACTCAGTATCATTATGATAGTTAGTGCAATAAATAAAGCCAGCTTTCATAACACTTAAACTGTAATCTTGTTTTCGCTGTGTATATGATGCTTTACCTCATTTCAAACTTTTTAACAGAGCATATATACATTATTGAACTTGATTATTTATTTATTTGAACACATACACATTAGCACAAGAGGGCACCAAATATATATGCGCCAAACAATAACAATGAGGCCAGTAGTAGTTATCATTGATTTGTGTCCAAAACGAAACAGATAGTTTTCCTAGGGGCCCGCTACATGAGTCTTTGACCTAAAGGTCCAATCAAAAAGATGGCGGAGCAACATTAAGAGATAGAGTCCCATGGTAGCCGGTGACCAACAATAAATTCATACCGTCTCATTTATAGCATGGTTGAACTCAACAGGTTATAGTTTCTCTTCAATACTCTTGGAAATGTCAATAGACAAGTCATCAGTGAGCAAGTGAATAGTAATTAGATAAGTCCTTCGTTTGTGAAATTTATGGATGTCATAGATCAACCTAACAAACAACCTCAGCCTTAAAGATAATGACACTCCACGGATACCTGAAAGGTTTAAAACTACGCCAAATAAGCTCATTCTCCAGATCGAATAGTCCTTTTGTGTAGAACATGTTTAAAACACGATTAAAAACTAGAAAGCACACTCTTAATTCCATTATCAACTATTAAGTAATTTACATGTATCTACCATAGCAGTTACACTGATGAATAAAGAAATGGGGTTTGAATTGTTTCTCATGAAGATATTCCGTGAAAGTGAATAAGAACACTAAACACTACAATTTTCAGACATCTGAGTTACAGAAGACATATGATAATCTATTTGATAGACCAAATGTCAAAATATGATCTGTAAAGTTTAAGAATTGTGTAGTTTAGTTAACCGTTGCTCAAAGAATGAACAAACTTAAGCTGGAAGTAAAATATATGAAAACAACATGAAAATGTTTCTCGGTTACCTTAATTCTAAAACGAAACAAAACAGTAAGATCTAAACACAACCTTCGTAAGAGTGGAACGAATGACTCTCAATGCAAATTCATAAACAGGTTATAATTCGAACTAATGAAGTTACCTAAACTAAAACATAGTAAAGTAGGTCATTTGCCAGAGTAATGCGAATATCTACCACTGAAAAGAGTTCTGTATGCCACAAAAGATACAATTTCATCATAAAACCTTAAACTATTACCTTCATTCTAAGTGGAGATGGATGGTAGCTAGGAACGGAATCCAGGACGCACGTTCCGTCCTGCTCTGCACTCATCAGCAGGATGCACCTGCATCCAGGAATTGATGTTAGAGTGAACTGCTGAGCAAATAAACTCGTCCTTTGGTTGGAAGACGGATATTTCATCTAAATCACAAGTCAGGCATGTTGGCAAGAGCCAATCGATCCTTCTGAGTCCGTGTTGAAATTTAGTCAGACACTAGTTTATAAGGGCTGATGATACTTCCAAGATAAGTGGGATGTTCGATGCACTTAACTTTGACACACTATCATTAACTCAATCGTCTACGCAAACGAGTCCTAAACCAGATGTATGAACTAGAAATTTTCTTCATAAACTAGAATATACACTTACCGATTAGATCTACTGGTCCACTTTTATTCTTCAATATCCATTGGAAAATTTTGAGGAGCTCTTCATAGTCAGCATCTGAAATACTCCCACTATAAAGTGTAAATATGAATGTTTTTGAAGCACTAAACCATAAACTATCTAATAACTCCCATCATGTCAATAAACGGTAAATATAATACAGATATATTCTTGGAAGTTACAGGGAGGATAATTTCAAAAGGGATTATTTAAGGGGTCATTTCAAATCCAAAAATTTTTTCTACGCTGGCCTATACTTTGACTTGAATCACAAATAAGACGAAAAAAGCTTATGAATGGTTAAGTTACATACATTTTATTGCTTACATGTTTTAATGACAATCAGCTATGTAAAAACTTGTAGTCCTAAAACACTAGGTGTGGCTTACAGGCTAGAAAATATAACTGTAAACTATTATTAAATTTATTTAGATCCACAAGCTACTATTTTAAAAAGAGTGATGAACTACTTGGTGGGTCACATTTCCCGACCGAAGCTGCTACCTTGACGCGGTGGTCGGGCTTACCTATCGTGATGACCCAACCAAACTATGTTGACTGGAACATATGTTCCTGTAGGTTCTACCATGCCAGGCAGGTCGATTGGAGAACGGTAAGACTAAAAGCAGCAACTCAAGGTCTGGGGGCAAAGTCGTACTGCTGACTGTAGAGGGGTGTGACTGCAGTAAGGTGTTTCCCTCGGACAACCAGCATCTGCAGCGATGCTGCCTTCCCACAAGGAGGGGTGGGGTTAGAAATGGTCGACCCTAAAAATGTCACACCTCACCTTACCTCACGGATTTCCGTCTCCACCGGTAAGGCCCTTTGAAGAACGGAGCTAACTCATTAAAAACCTTCCACGAAAAGGCCGTGCGCGACCGGCCTCAAGCAGTTGTCCTTTGGGCTCTGTGGTCACGCTCCCAGGTCGTTAAGATCAACACTAATCCGACTTCTTTTTCAGGTTCCTCAAGAAATACCCTTCCACGGTGTGGGCAGCCGGGAAGTGATGTCAGCCCTCATACCCATAACAGCGCAAGAGACCAAGTTGGTCACATTCAAACCCTTCCTACACCTCCTAATACCTCTCTTATCTCCATGACTAAACCTCCTCACGTCTCTTTATCACCTCTCACCTCTAGGGCAAACGATTCGAGTACGCGGAACGCTATTCCTGGTCTCCTGAAACCATGCTCTAGACTACACGTTGGAGCTTTTAACATCCGAACACTGTGCCAAATACGATAACAGCCTTCCTTAGCTAGGACTTTAGAATCCCGCGCCATCGATGTGTGCTGCGTCTCCGAAACGCGCATACAGGATCCGAGTAGCGTCATTCATCTGACCTCACCATGCCAAAATAAAGAACCGACTCGATTCACACTTCGTGTATCTGGAAGCCCTGATTCTGCTTCCCGTGGCCTCGCCGGCGTAGGCATAGCATTGAGTCCTAGGGCAGAACTAGCTCTCTTAGAGTGGATCCCAGTAGACAGTCGTTTGTGCGCTGTCCGACTAAACGGAACAGTAAGGATCCGAAAAGATAGGGACACTCGTCGTTGCCTTTTCATCGTCTTTGCCTATTCTCCCACTGACTGCAGTGCAGATGCTGTGAAAGATGAGTTCTACAGAAGGCTCTCCGACCTCCGCCGAAAAGCTAGACGCTCAGATATAGTAATAATGGCCAGTGACTTTAATGCTCAAGTAGGTAAACTAAGTGATAGGGAAAGATATCTGGGTGGATCTTATAGCATCATGGCACAAAGAACAGATAATGGCGACCGTCTGTTGCAGCTATGCTCGGATAACCGCCTCTTTCTTGCAAATACCAACTTTAAGCATAAGGAAAAACATCTTTTAACGTGGAGACCCCCTAATTCGTCCCAGCGTTGGACCCAAATAGATCACATCGCTATCAGCCACCGATGGAGGGGCTCGATAGAAGACTGTCGCTCATTCTGGAGCACATGCTTAGATTCAGATCATGCTCTAGTACGAGCGCGTATCTGTCTGCGTCTTACTGGACGTAGGAAAGACGCTGCAAGGAAACCTCTTAGGGCCCTATTTAATGATAATCAAGCTAAGAGTATATTTCAGGAACTACTAGGAAAACAGTTAGGCAGCCATGTATGTGATGCCCACTCTGAGGCAGCATGGAATGATATCCGTAAAGCTGTGGAAACAGCAGTGATATCTGCAAGTACGGTAACCCGTAAGGTTAGGGAACGACATTGGATCTCAGCAGCATCTATCGCACTGATAGATACTCGGAAACTCATTCCACCTGGCTCTGAACATAGTGAAGAGCGGAGTCAGCTTAAGCGCAAGCTGACAAGAAGTCTACGCAACGATCGTGAACAGTGGTGGGTAGCGAAAGCAAGAGAGATGGAAAAGGCAGCGGCAGTAGGTAATAGCAGACAATTGTTCAGACTTGTTAAGGAAACCGACTGTTAGCGAAACACTCTCAGAGAAAGATGGACATATTATACACTCTCAATCCAGGAGATTGGATCGATGGGCAGAACACGTCAGAGATCAGTTCAACTGGCCTTCAGCCACACTTCGGTTTCCCACGATCTCCAGTCAACCTGAATGGCAAGTTAATGTAGGTCCTCCGTCTCTTTACGAAGTTGAAAAGCCATAGGAAATCTGAAGCGAGGAAGAGCAGCAGGCCCTGACAGGTTTACTCCTGAGATTTTTAAGGATGGTGTTCCAGTATTAGCAATGAGATTAACCGAGGTCTTAGGTAGAATTTGGGAACTGGACGTAATCCCATCTGACTGGTCTCAATCACTGATTGTGCCAGTTTTTAAGAAAGGACAAAAGTCCTCTTGTGACAATCACAGAGGACTCAGTCTGACTAATATAGTGTCTAAAATATTAGCTTCAATAATACTTCGACGCCTAACTTAAGCTTGTGAAGAGCATACTAGAGAAAACCAGACCGGTTTTCGACCTGGACGTGGTTGTATAGATCAGATATTCACACTACGTCAGGTTCTAGAACACAGACACACATTCAGACACCCCACAATGGTAGTATTTCTCGACCTTAAGGCGGCATTCGACTCTGTTGATCGTAAGGTTCTGTGGTAGTGTTTGTCACTGAAAGGAGTACCAAACAAGTACATTAACCTTATACAGGCTCTCTACTCGAACACAACTGGTCGAGTGAGAGCTTATGGCGAACTGTCATCAGAATTGATTACCTCAACTGATGTTCGTCAGGGTTGTCCACTATCTCCTTTCTTGTTTAACTTTGTCGTTGACGTGCTTTTAGAGATGACACTTTCCTCATCTAAATTTCCAGGGGTTGAACTTCTACCAAGAGATTCACTTGTTGACTTGGAATATGCCGATGACATAGTTTTATTTGGCGAAGACGCTGACAAAATGCAGTCTTCTGACCACTCTAAGCAACAATTCAGGCATGTTCGGGATGCGATTCTCTCCCTCGAAATGCAAAATGTTGATTCAGGATTGGGTTGCATCGACACCCGAACTAATGATAGGGAGTGAAGTAATTGAGCGTGTCGATCGCTTCACTTATCTTGGAAGTCTCATCAGCCCTTGTGGTCTGGTGTGTGACGAAATCTCAGCACGGATACAGAAGGCTCGACTAGCTTTTACCAACTTGCGTCATTTATGGTGTAGGCGAGATATCCGTTTATCAATCAAAGGACGGGTTTACTGCGCAGCACTTCGTTCTGTCCTACTTTATGGCAGTGAAACATGGCCGGTAAGAGTAGAAGATATTCGTAGGTTACTAGTATTCGATCATAGGTGTCTTCGACACATTGCTCGGATATCCTGGGACCATCGAGTAAGAAACTCATTTGTTCGGAAACGGGTACTAGGTAAGGATGGCAAATCGATTGATGAAGTGGTGAAACTTCATCAGTTGAGATGGCTGGGACACGTGTTACGTATGCCCAACCACCGACTGCCTCGACGAGCGATGTTCAGTGGTATAGGAGCAGGTTGGAAGAAAGCTAGGGGCGCCCAGACCAAAACATGGCACAAGTCCATGAAGTCACTGACAAGTGGTCTGAGTCATGTCGGTAGGTGTAGACTACCTGGTTGGGGACCGCCAGATGATAGCAACCGATGGTTAGAGACCTTGAACGACATTGCTCAAAATCGTTTGCAATGGCACAGGTGCATACACTCTTTGTGTTCTTCCGAATTTTGGTCTCCTTATTCCTCCTTGTCTTTTTTTCTCTTTCCAAATTTATTTCACTGTATTATACTCTTTAAGTAACATCTCCAAACCCTAATCTTCACGACTACTGCTTATACTCTTATTACTTCTACCACTACGGGATTTGAACCGACCACTGCATCTCTGTGCTAATGTGGTGTGGCAACCCGAACTGATGTACGTACGTACGAAGTTCTACGTTGTTACTGACTGACTGACTGACTGGGTCACATTCAACGATGAAACAGACTCCTAATAGCGCTAGACGAAGCTTGTTGTCAATGCTAAAAATGATGGATACAAGTATGAATATCACAAACAATGAACTAATACATTTAACACTACGTTGAGTCAATGTTGAACCAGATAGGCGTGCAATATAAAGGGCATTATGATCAATTAGCGGTTGAATTCCACATCATGAGACAGGTATATTTACGGAACGTTTTCGTTTTAAGTTGCTGCACTTTGCTTTATCGTCATATAGATTGTCTTTATATATCTACATAGCTTTTACTTGCTTTATTTTTACCAATGTTTTTGATCCATTATGGCGAGAAGGATTTTAGGCCAATCGTCTGTCTTATCAGCTGCTGTTTATTTCAAATATCAAAGTCTTGGCTATGGTCATGAAAAAAGTAGGTGTATCACTAATATCTCTATATTAAAATAAATCAACATAGTTCTCTAGTAGCAAAATCACCAAGTTTATTTCAAATTAGGATCAGTTCGGTGTCACAAAACTACAATAACATCAAGCTCAATCTTAAGATCTTTGACTTACGAAGCAGGATTAAATATGCGACTTACAATGCATAAAAATCAATTACTTTCAAGAAACTCCCAAACTTTCCACCACGAGCAAACTCATTAATAAGTACGTGCTAACAAAAACTTTTTGAGACTTACTTATTGTGCATATTTTCTGTAAAACAGTACCGACTGCTATGGATTGACCTTTCCAATAGGCGTATTGGTTTGGTCTGTAATTGAAAAATATTTAAAAAAAACTCGATAAATCTAAAACAGTAACGAAGATATCACTAAGATATTTTTCCAGTGTAAATATAATGGCTTAATGATCAGACTGTCTCACGGAGGTTCATACGTGTAAACTCCATCTTATCTACGTTGGTTCACCAAATTAAGCAGAATTAATGGTCCTAGCAATCTAATTTTCACTCAATCTAGTACGCAAACTAGTAATTAACTGTCAAATTACACTCGAGCTATTCATATACGTAACAAAAACTGAGCTTGTAAATTACTCTTACATTTCCAAAATAGCAGAGATCGCCGACAAAGAACTTCAGTTACAGTTTAAATGTTTATTGTCAGTGTATAGATAGCCACTTCAAGTATACTTTTTTATATATGTATAGCATACGAGTCAGAATAAGCTTCATTTAGCTGCTAGTATACATACATATTTATTCCAATGATCACACAGTAGCCAACTTGATATCAAAAAGATCACTACATACAGTGATATGAAATGACAGCTATATTAGTAAATTTCAAAAGGATTGAAATTAAATCGAAGTAATTCTTACCATTTGTTACTAAGTGTTAGCACAAAAGATTCTTTGGGTGAAAACTATGGAAATAACTTACAAAAGCAATGACGCGTTTTTGCGGTCTATATTAGTATAGACAGCTTTTTACTAACCTCATCATATACTGGGACTCGTCAGACAAAAATTACTGGCCAAAAAGATTTCTGACAACTTAATTAACTTGTGAAATATGAGGTATATAGGATTAGACATGCTGGTAAAAAAATACAAACGAGATTTATCTTACTGGTGGTTTTGACTGACGGTCTAGTAATGTCACAAGGACCTGAGCCTGAAAAGGAACAGACCATCGGCGTTGATCATGATACATAAGTTCCTGTATGAATTAGAAAAGTAGGAAAAACATAACTTACGAATAGATCATAGCCTCTGGCGTCTTTCCATAAATATAGCGGTTCATGCATGACTTCATTTTTAGGAGAAAGCTGCTGAAAGTAACGTAAAAATGTTGACTTTCCACACCCTATATTCCCCTCAACCATAACCTAAATACTCTAAATTAACAAATGTGTCGAAACCAACAGTACGAAATTCATATTTTGAAGTCATAACGTCCACGAGGATTCGACCTAGAAATTGATTAAAGACTGTGGCGTATCTTAACAACTATGGGCTGGATTCATCAAATTCATTAATTTTCCGAAATGTTTCCTTAGTTGGTGGTACATATCAAGATAGTGCTTATTCAGACTAATCTAAAGACTTGAATGCTACAGTTTAAGTGAATTTGGCGAGTATTCTGTTTATATGGAGTATAGTTGAGTGAGCCCTATATTCAATATCTCTGCCTTTTCGTCCTTTTGTCTTCTGTCTTTGTGACAAGCTTTCATGAAACGGTCAGTTTCTTCGCACTTGCTTCTCATTGTTTCAGTACGACTGCAAGTCTTTGATAATGTTCGATAATCATTAGTCCAGCCACTTGACTGCATTTATTCTAGTCAGTTTTTTTAGTTAAGTGTAGGTTTGTATATCGTGTAACTTGAATAAGTGAGTTCGTCTCAGATCATTAGCGGTTATGGGTGATAAGCTGTCACTTTACCAGGTTGCTTGATTGCAATAAAGGAAATAATTAAGAAGACATTCAGATGTTGAGCGATAGGTGTCCCAAGAAACAAACAGGAAGATGATGTATTTACGTGGTAATGAAGAAGATGTGAGAAGATAGGAGAGCGATAACGAAAGGTGGTTCGAGATGTTGGTAGGCGATATGAGGATTATTTGATGATGTGACCACGATAATGGTAGATGATTTTCGAGATATGTATCACACACGGGTATTCCAAAATGCGAGGTGAGTATCAACTGAGGGGGCTGGGATCACTTCAGGTGAGAAGGCACTCAGGAAAGAGGTAACTACTAATAATATAGTGACATTATTCCTACATTTTCAATCGTCCACTTGCAGTTCTTCGAGGTTTGCTTCGTAGAGAGTGACGGTGATTTTCAGGTTGGACGTTTTTACTAGGTTCCAGATGTATTTAGTAGGTTGTGAACTATCGATATTTCACCTCTTATTTTCGTATGACCGAACCATAGCACTCCAATAGTCGAAGTTTATTTTCGCATGATTCACTTCTTTGCCCTATTGTCTACTCATTTGACACTCTTCATGCTTTATCTCATTCGATGAGTAAAGTTAAAAACTTTAAAGTAATGCGTTGGGCTCGTTTTTAGGTGTGATTTAAACAACTCAAGAAGGATTATGCTAACTTATTTCTATTTGGGTTGAAAAGCTACATTTTTTGGCTGAGTCTATAATGCAGTTTGATTTGTGTCCAAGATCTCTGCAGTAAATATGTTACGGGAGGACTGAAGACATTTGTCAGACTAAAAACTTTGCATTGAATATTATCAATTTCACTGAGTTTTCGGAAGTATTTGTTTTACTCGACTTCTGAAATTATTTTTTCATACCATTATTTTCGGACATTTTGGTTTCTTTTGTATTTGTTTTGGTATTTGGGAGTTTTTGCTCCGTGAACCTACGAAATTGATGAATGGCATTTGGATCGACTATTTGTAAATTGCAAATAAACTTTAGTATCCAAATTAGAGTTCGGTTCTATCGTCAGCTTGGGTTCGTACGTTGCAAATACATCGATATACCCTACTTCAATAACGGAAGCGAACAAAAACTTGGACGTAACATAAAGGTCTTCAATTATTTGTTCTGTGGCCTACATACTTTGGATTCTTTGGATAATTTGGGTGCAATTTTCTGGTCCTATTGTTCGATTTCGTCCGGATTACTTCACCTTTGTTTAGGTAACCGATTCCATGAAACAAAGGCATACGATGGGGACGCAAAGCAAAAGGCCGAAAGAAAAGGACGAAATGGATGGTAAAATTTCTAAAGCTGTTTGTGGTATGTCTGGTTTTAATGATAATAAACGTGATGATGATGGTGTTAATGGTATGTACTCTGACCAGCTTAGTACTTGTAGAATAAAGTTAGGTAAGGCATTAATAATGAAGAAGAATTTAGAAAAGAAACTTGAGTTTGAAATGAAGCTTAAGAAGAGGTTGATATGGCTGAATTAGAATGTAAGATCATAGGAGATGATAACCAGCTGCCCGTAGACAAGTGTGAAATAAATGCTAAGATGGAAAGCCACTTGGATTGCTATACTGGCTGTACTAGTCACCCATGGGAGATATTTAGCATCTCGAAGGGCGATTGAGTTGATGAGTTGAAGGATATGGTACATACTAAGATTAATAATATGGTGTTACCTAAAATTGATATGATGTATTTTTATCAAGAACCGAGTCAGTACCACCGTTTTGTTAGTCAGTCTACCAGCATTGTAGGGAGTAGACTGTCCGATGATGGCCAATTGTTGTCGTATTTATTATATTATTGTAAAGGAAAGACCAGGGCGGCTTGCATTTCTTTACCCAGTCATTTGGGTTCTGACATAGCTAAACAAAGTTTGTTGAAGGATCATCCGAGAGCTTAACTGACTTCGTAATTAAGCTTCGTAATGCACGCATAACATTGAAGGAAATGGGGTATATGTCTGATGTGAAGTCTACGGTTAATTCGGAAATAATTGTGTAATGTCAACCCCTAGAATAAAGAATATATGGATGGAAGTTGTCAATAAGACCATGATGGCTGGGAAAGATCCGAACTTTGAAGAAGTTGAGATCTTTGTGGAAGAAAGAGCCAGGATTACTGGAACACGTTATGGTAGATTGGTTCACTGTAACTCAAAGTTCGGCAAAATGAATTATGGAGGCCAAGTTGATAAGAGACAATGCTTTAATGTAGTTAAGTGGGACCCAAGGAACTCATTCAAGATTTTAAGTTGAGAACTTCGTTTAGGTGACCAAAAAGAGGCGGATTTTATGAAGTTATCGAAAATGAATGTTAGAGAAGGGCGACAGGAAGTGAGAAGACGTGGTCTATGTTACCTGTGTTTAAGGGAGTGTCACATAGCCAAGTCATGCAACTCGGACATTAAGTGTGACTTTGATAATTGCAAGATTTGGTACAATTCATTGATACATATTGATAGTATTAATAACCATGTAGTGAACTTAGTTAGGGATTGGGACTCGTCGAATGTTTGTTTGGGTATCATTCCGATAAGACTATACGGTCCGAGTGGAACATTAGAAACTTACACCCTTCTAGATAGTGGTTCAGATACTTCCCTCTTATGCGAAGAGTTATTTAATCAGTTGGGTATCGAGGGTAAAGAGGCTTCGATGACAATAACCACTGTGAATGGGACTACTACTTGTAAATGTTTTAAAGTAAATTTGAAGATATTTTATTTGGATGAGCAAGGATCTGTGGAATTCAACAAGGTTTATATAACTAAGAAGTTTCCTATCGATTATGTAGAACCTCTAAACAAGGAACACCTGAGAGAGTGAAAGCATTTGAAAGACATCACACTTCCGGCGTGGCAAAGTAATCTGGTAGGAGTGTTGATTGGGCGTGATATTCCAGACGCACACTGGGCTCTGGAACAACGACCGGGAGACATGTAACATCCGTTCGGTGTGAGTACGCATCTCGGTTGGATGATTTTAGGTCTCAAAATATTATGTAGGTTTGTGCATTCAGTACAGGATTGTCATTTTCACGATTTTTCACCAGATTTAGAAACTAGAACCTAACAAAATATCCCTAGATCGCATTCTGAGGATAGATTTCTAGGGCCAGTGAAATGTCACTGAGCCCTAGCCAAATCATTCAGAAGCTGGGTCACTGATTATCGAACAAATCATCGATGCTCTTTAGTGTCAAGAACAACTAATGAACATCAGTTAATCGTATGTCATGGACTGGCCCAAGTGGTGGTGGTCTCGCTATTTTCTCTGTACACATTCTCACCAATACATTTTCTGTAATAACGTCCTTTGTGTCGTGTAGTCTACAAAGCTTATATAATACCTTGGTACATTGATGCAGTAATCCACGTAAAGAGATAACCGTGAGGTGTGAACTCGAAGTTAACTGGTTCGCACACCATTCCTGTCTAACTCTGGTAGGCCCTCTATCATTCAACATAAATCATCTACGTTGATGATCTACACATTTGACAGATTTTCTTAGAGGACGTAGGCTGTTTATGTTACTTTTGAGTGAGTGTTTACAATACAACATTGTAACAGGTTGAATTTCTACTCATTACCGAGTCAGTCCTCTTTTTTCTTGTGGCACTCCATAATTTTGCGTGACCAGAATATGGGAGAACTGGTAAAGTGATTTTGTTTGCGAGGTCATTAATGATGATGAGGAATAGGATTGAACTAAAAGTTTCTCTTGATGTTAGGAATTCTATCATTGAGACTTTCCTGCTAGAGAGCACTTTGTTTGCAACATCTCATTCTTTGGGTAACGCTAAGGAAAACATAAATGTGGTCCAGTGAAATACATTCTCATGACCTTTTCGATTAGAAGTGTGTGCACAGATAATGGTTCTAACTACACAATTCACGAAGATGAACACATAATTATTAATATATAGCACTTGGAGGAGATCAGTGATGAAGAAAGCGTGAAGATTCATTCAGGTGGCATGGCTCGGTCGTGCAGACGTGGTCACTCTATACGAAACCTATTGAATCTTGTAGCAAATATACTATCTTCTGCTCAACCCAAATATGTTCCTCGGAAATGTTAGACGTCATAGTGCCGATCCTTACGATAGGACAAGTCCGAATACACAACGATTTAACTTCCACGTAAGACTTATATATTGGGTAGTCAAATCATGACAAATCTAAAATTTAGTGATGAGGTCTACTTTTATAGTAATTCTAATATCGAACCAAACCATAATCATGTAGACATTTTCTTCATGATTAATTTAGGCGATATCTAATCGATAAGAAAAACGGCCCATTGCAACTTAGTTAACAAAATTCTATCAACACCTGACATTCGTCAATATTCAGTCCTTAAATAGTTGTAAATGATGGAATGTTACTCTGACTGGTCTCATAAAAATAGAGCTAAACGAACTAATCTACACTCGTCGTCTTGCTGTTGAACAAGGTCTGGTAGTATTGTAATGCGCGTTGCCTCGTTGGACGTTCACATTAATAATCGTCACTGC